CAGGATTTGCCGTGCAAACTGACTCCAAGATAGAAGAAGGGTTGAGTGGCTTCCGGCCCGGTCGAAGCACCTCTGACCAGATATTTCGCCGTACACCAGATTGTTGAGAAATCGCGGGAGTTAGCTCGTCCAGCGTAGATATGCTTTGTTAACCTTGAAAAAGCCTATCACCGGATCCCACGCAACAGTCTGTGGTAATACCTTCGAGCATACGGGACAGATGGTCAGCTGTTAAGGGCCATCCAATTCACGATATTCTGATAGCAGGTGCTGCGTCAGAGTAAATGGGGTGAAGTCCAAACCTTTCATCGTTCGCACCAGTCTCCGCCAAGGTTGCGTCCTGTCCCCTATCCTATTTGTGTTGTACATGGATAGAATAGTCAGGAGATCAGTCAAGGCGATCTGTGCATCGGTGTAGGAGATGTGGAGGCGAGAAAGTTGATGTTTGCAGATAACCTGGTTATATTGGCACCTTCTGAAACTGATCTGAAGTGCTCCCTGGAAAGGTTGACAGCTGAGTGCGACGTGGCCGGCATTCGTGTGAACGCATCTACAGCGAAAAGCCTAGAGCTTTCTTGTTCTTCTGCACGTTGCTCTTTTCAAATAAACAGAGAAGCAGTGGAGAAGGTGGAGAAGCCCAAGTACCGCAGGGTCGTGTGTACTGGAGATGGAAAATTTGAGGAAGAGATCGACCGGCTGGCAGATTGGAGTAGCCAGTGCTGCTCTGCCTAAACCAGCTCGAACTTTACTAATGCATAGTTGAGACTGACAACTAAGCTATTGGTGTTTAAGTCGACCTTTATCCCTATGCTTACCAGCGGTCATGATTCGTGGACCATGACTGAAAAACTTCGATCCCGGGTACAACTGGCTGAAATGGGCTTTCTGAGACGAATCGATGGGTTTACGCCTTTCAGCATGATCCAGAGAACAGATATCCGAAAAAGCCTTGGTGCATAACCGTTGTTTCTCCAAACTGAGAAGACAGAGCTGCGATAGTACGGAAAGGACGGCTTAGTAAGGAGCCGTTACGGCACCGATCGATAGCTGTTGTCAGTGTGCAGTTTTGTAGCGCGTTTGCATCTGTATGACTGTACGGTTGTCATCTCGATCAACTGTTACATCCAAGCCACAGTATTACATATCAATATGAAGCTCTCCGTGAACGTAAACTTCTGAAACTTCTGTCAAAAACTAAAGAATTACTAAGATTCGTGTTTTATTTTATGATTCCATTTTTCTAACTGC